TATCCTGGGTCTTCTCTCTCTCCCACAGCCTGCCCTCAAGTGATGTGTCAAAAAGAAACGGCAGAATTCAGATGGTTCTGTGGCTGAAATTCTGGGCTTTTTGTCCAGAGAACGGCTTTCTAGGGACTATCATATGCTTTGCAAGCTCATGGCCAAGGACGCTATTTCCCATCCGACAAGAAAGATGGTAGAAGGAGCTGCCTTAACAGCCTTGTATAAACTCAAATCTGAAAAATGTCTGGAACTTTTTACAGATTGGTCAGAAATTCTGGTTGTTTTTGTTTTGTTTTTAGTTGCCATTAGGCTAGGCAAGCAATTCTCTGTGGAGCCTTTAGCAGCTGCCATGGTCAAATTCTATAGAAACCTTAACCAAAATGGAGGTTATCCAGAAAAGGCAAATCTATAGAAATAGAAAGTACATTAGTACTTGCCTGGGCATGGGGTTGGGAAAACGGATCGACTACAACTGAGCCCAACAGATCTTTTTTGGGGTTGGAAACATTCCAAGATCAAATTGTGGCAATGGATGCATAGATCTATAAATTTACTAAAATGATTCATTAAATTGTACACTTAAAATGGATGAATTTTATAGTATAGAAATTATACTATAAAGCTCTTAAACATGCACATGCACATACTCATACACACACTCACTCCAAAGATCACAGGATGGCAGAGAACTTGAACAATTTTGTTTCTAAATCAGGAATAGAAGAGATTCTGACTGGGGTTGGTTAAGCATCTGACCCTTGGTTTTTGGCTCAGGTCATGATCTCACCATTCTTGAGCCCCATGTTGGGCTCTGCGTTGGGCTCTGTGAGGCCAGGAAAGAGGCGGCTTGGGATTCTCTCCCTCTCGCTGCACCGCCCCCCTCCTCCTCTCCTCCTCTCCCCCCGGGAAAAAAAAAAAAAAAAACAACTTAAAGAAAAAAAGAAGAAATTTTGACTGTGTAGAACAAGATACAGGTTTCCACATTGCCTATTATTTTGAAATGTTATTCAAAAAGATTCTCCTGGGGCGCCTGGGTGGCTTAGTCGGTTAAGCATCCGACTTCGGCTCAGGTCATGATCTCACGGTTCGTGGGTTCCAGCCCCGCGTTGGGATCTGTGCTGACAGCCAGCTCAGAGCCTGGAGCCTGTTTCAGATTCTGTGTCTCCCTCTCTCTCTGACTCTCCCTTGCTTACACACAAACACACTCTCTCTCTCAAAAATAAAGAAAACATTAAAAAAAGCAAAAAAAAAAAAAAAAAAAAAAAAAAAAAAAAAAAAAAAAAAAAAAAAAAAAAAAAAAGAAAAAGATTTTCCTACTTGGAATACTGTTTGTATTCATGAAGGAGAAAAAACCATGGGATAATGATGTATATTGTGTGCAAAAGGGGAAAGTTTGTAAATGGGGCCTGAGCCCAACATTATTAATACCTGCAGCAAATACTTCATAGCCCAAACACTGAAGATAGTAATAACTTTATGACTTACTGATTGTGGTTCTTGTTAACTCTCAGGTAATATAGTTACATACTGCCTAAGATTTAATTATAATGACAATTATTAATAATACTGTGCAGTGTTATGTATGTGCAATTTCCCTTCAGTTTTATCCAAGTTGATAAATCAATGAAGTTATATTTAAATTTGCATGATAACTGGCTTTCTTCTCATTCTTCCACTCAGTTTTTACTCTGCAGAATCTTGATGTTTCAGTGAATCTTTCAAGTTAAAACCATCGACTCGACATTCCCCCCCCCCCGCCCCCCCCCCCCGCCCCAAGAACAAGAATACTGAGAATGAATAGGACATTAGATTATGGAGCAAAATGTCTGCATTTGTGATAGCTGTGTTTTTTTTGGCTCATCAATTTAATGCAGATGGTTTTAAAGACTGTAATAAGTGTCTGTTCTTTTGTTCTAAATAGCAAAATGAAAAGGTTGAGTAATCAAAATTTATTATTGAAATTAGTGTAGTCTAGTCTATCTCTTTGGATGCAGTTGTAGATTATTTTGAGACAAAACATTGCAGATTTGTTGGGGGAAATGAATACATTTTTGTGTATGTAATATTCCCTACTGTTTTACTTTAAACTGGATGATTTTTGAGGAAACTTTTGTAAGAGGTAACTTTATAATTTTACACCATGGTACACATTCATCATTCCTTACAATTTTATAGCATGGCATACATTCAACACTCAATTACATTTCCTTGCCATCTTGCACACAAAGTATATTTCTGCCTCAGGGCCTTTGCACTTGTTATTCTCTCTGCCTGATGGATCATTCCCTAGATGGCCATGGCTCACTGCCTCATTTAAGTCCCTGCTCAAATATCACTTCCTCAGAGCAGCCTTCCCTGATTAGCCTATCTAAAAATAGCACACTGTCACTATCCCTTTTGCTGGCTTTTTCTTCATAGCCCTAATCCACTGTCTGACTTTATATGCTTGCCTTCCCACTAGAAAGTGAGGTCCAGGAAGGCAGGGGCCTCATCAGTATTGTTCTTTGCTGTATCCCCAGCAATGGGTACATAATTGCTCAAGACATATTTGTTGAAATTAACTGGATAAATTGCAATTTGATTTTAGATATTTACATTTTCTTTCCCTTCCTAACCAATAAATTCATGGAAGGCAGTCAAAGACCTGGTTGCTTATTTATCCCCTCTAAAGCAGTAGCTCAGTTCTGCACGGATGATAGGCGTTCAACCAAGATTTATGGAATGAACACCCTGAAACACGGATGTGTAATGAGGCTAACCAGTCAGCATTCCCTGCAGGTGAACAAACAGGGAATATCTTGCCTCTCAGCCCACACTTTACAAAGTTCTTTCATTTGTATTAACTCATTTAATCATTTTGCCAAAACGTTAGGTGTTCTTAAGGTTTGCCTAAAGAAATGAACTCTCAACTGTAACAAATATGAATTTCTGACATGAACTCTAACTTTGAATCGTTTTTTTTTTTTTTGGCTTAGATATCAGTGGCATTTAATGTGCTCTTGGATGCCTGAAGAAGTATTTTTAAAGACTGAATAATGTTTAAAATAAATAAATAAAAAGAAAAAGGCTATCTTGTCACATAACGTGTGCAGGGAGAGATTTTTGGAAATGTTTAACAAAGTCTTCAAGGTGGAATAGTGGGATCTTGATAATGCTTACTTTTTTCAGCTTTTCCATTTTTCTTGGTTGTTTTTTAAAACAAATTTGAAGTTGTCAAAAGAAACCTGTTTCTACAATGCTTAACTTTTATATTTTTTTCAGTGTGTATAGCCTAAGAAATACCGCTACTTATTTTCTTGGCTTTGTAATTCAGAGTATACAGCAAATTTCATTCTGAGAACACTTCTAATACTGATATGTAGTATAAATCAACAACAAATAAGATGAACCAAACGTCTATAGGCAAGAAAAAAGCGTTAAAGCAATGCTCTGTAATTTGACAAATATTTTTTCATCTTTGCCCAAAACAACAATAAAAAACTTTCCAGGATATTGGGGGGGCACCTGGGTGGTTCGGTTAAGAGCCCGAACTCAGGTCATGATCTCACGGTTCCTGAGTTGGTGGTTGAGCTCTGTGCTGACAGCTCAGAGCCTGGAGCCTGCTTTGGATTCTGTGTCTCCCTCTCTCTACCCCTCCTCCACTAGCACTCTGTCTGTCTCTCGAAAATAAATAAACGTTAACAAAATTTAATAAAAAGCTTTCCAGGATATTGAGCTCCCAAAATAGAAGGTCAAAACCAGGCATCAGGGACTCCTTCTGGACTTTGGACCGACCTCAGAGGGCACACAGGAAACATGCTCACGTATTTTTTTCTCATGATTTAAAATAGTTAAAATTCCCTTTTCCTTGTAGTTTTTACCACAGGAATTGGGAAGACATGCAAATAACCACTTTGTGGAAAATCTCTACTGATGCCAACGACACTGGGCTTAAAAGGTTTTGGGTGTTTTTTATAAGTTAATTCTGAACCGAGAGCTTTCTATGGCTGCCGGTGCACCTGATGGCAAGTGAGGATTCTTTACACGGCGAGCAGCTTGTGTGCCTGCCTCCATGCCTGGGCATCTGTGCGCGTTTCTGTGTGCGTGTGTGTGCAAAACGGGTTTGAGGTGTGTGACGGTGGCTCCGAGACCCTGGCTCACAGGCACAACCAAGATGCGCGTCCAGCCATGTGGGCTGGCGCAGGTTTCTTCAGTCTAGGCTGGGGCGGGGGATGCTCCGCCAGGGCCTGAGGCGCTGCACGCATGGCGCCGCGCAGCCCGCGTCCACGCAGGGTCCCGAGCACATGCTAGGGAGTGGGGCACATTTTCTCCCCTTCCCCCCACCTCCTCCTCGAGCCCGACTAGAAGCGGAGATCTCGGGAGGGGTCGCGAGAGCGGGGGGGGGGGGTCCCGGAGGGCCCTGGGTGGGGGAGGGGACGAGCGGGCGGCTCCTCCCACAATCCGTTCCCTGCGGAGCCGGTGTCCGTTCGGCCTCACCCGGTCTCAGGGACCGGGAAACCCAGACCGGGGGCGGCGCGCGCCTCAGGGGCGTCTAGACGCCCAGGTACGTGCAGCCCCTTCCTCAGGACTCATGGGGACGGTTGAGCCGGGCGGTTGCGGCCCCCGCCGCGCCGCACCACGGCCTCTGTGACGCACGCCGCGGCCGCCTGGGCTAGCCGGGCGGCGCGGCGCGGCGCGGCGGGGGCGGGGCGAGCGCGGGAGGGCGGGGCGGGGGCGGAGCCGGAGGTGGCCCCGCCCCAGGGCCGGAGGAGCGAGGACGCTACGGAGCAGGCGCGTCCCGCCGCTGCCGCCGCCGCCGCCGCCGCCGCTGCTGCCGCCGCCGCCGCCGCCGCCGCCGCCGCTCGCCCTACTCCAGAGCTGCCGCCGCCGCCGCCATTTGCACGGGGACCCCAGTGACAGGGGCTCGGCGGAGGGGCGGAGGGAGGGGGGGAGGGCCCGCGGAGCCCCCGAGGGCGGGAGCGACGCCGCCGGCGCCGGCCGGGCTCCCTGCGCGACCGCGCCGCCCGCGGCGGGCCCCGAGCAGCAGCAGCAGCAGCAGTAGCAGCAGCAGCAGCAGCAGCAGCAGCAGCAGCCGCCGAGGCCGGGCGTGCGCCTGAGGCGCGGCGGCGGCGGCGGCCCTGCGGGCGGCCGAGAGGGGCGGGGGCAGAGGCCGCCGCCGTTTGATGGATCCGAGGATCGCCTGGTTCCAGCCAGAGCAGCTCGGACCGTCCAACAGTCTGTGGATGCAGATCTGGGAGACGACCCAGGGGCTGAGGAACCTCTACTTCAACCACCACTGTCACAGCAGCGGCGGCGCGAGCGGCGGCGGCGGCGGCAGCAGCACGGCCACCGGCGGGAGCGGCAGCAGCACCGGCAGTCCGGGCGGCGCGGCCCCGGCCCCGGCCCCGGCCGGCATGTACCGCTCCGGGGAGCGCCTGCTGGGCGGCCACGCGCAGTCGGCGGAGCAGCGGGACTTCCTGCCCCTGGAGACGACCAACAACAACAACAACCACCACCAGCCCGCGGCCTGGGCCCGCCGGGCTGCCGCGGGTCCCTCGGCATCCCCGTCCCCCTCCGCGTCCTCGTCCCCACACTCCTCCGCCGCCGTCCCTGCCGCGGAGCCAGCGGACCCGGCCTCGGGTAGCAGCAACAAGAGAAAGCGCGACAATAAGGCTAGCACCTACGGACTCAACTACAGCCTGCTGCAGCCCAGCGGAGGGCGGGCCGCGGGGGGCGCCCGGGCGGACGGCAGCGGGGGCGTGTACAGCGGGACCCCGTGGAAGCGGAGGAACTACAACCAGGGAGTCGTAGGGTGAGTGGTAGCTCTGCGGCCTGGTGGCCTGGCCTTTGCATACGCGCATCCGGGCACACGCCCACAGAAGGTGGATTGGGGGGAGCCTGGGCGAGGCCCCCCCCCCCCCCCCCGGCCTGCCTTCGGTGCTGGTTCTCAGGGGGCAATGGCCATCTCTCCATCCCTCCACCATTCATACCTTCCCCCACTCCGTAGCGGTGCACACCTCCCCCCTCAGCTTTCCAGGCCTTTTCTGGACATCCCCTCAGCCATCCACACCCTCCCCTCACGTCCCTTAGTCATCCACACTCTCGGTCTTAACAGTCCACACCTTCCCCGACCCCTAACCCATCTACTCTTTCCTCCCATCCCCCATTCAAATACACCATCCCCCCCCCCAGTCCTCCAGGTCTTGCTCCCCACCAGCCCACCACCCCAAGATGCAGTCAGTCAGCACGGACAGATCATTGATTCCCTGAGAACATTCCCGTGTTAGTGCCATTTGATGGTACAGGACCTGGAGGTGCTTTCCTTGCCAAGAATAGAAACATCCAGAAAGCTCCTCCCCCTCCCCCAATCCCAAACAGGAATCATTTCAGCCCTGTAAGGTTTTGCCTGCTGTTGACCCTTTTTGCCCATCTTTTATTTTTTTCTTAAAAAAATCCTGCATTAGCGATGATTTTTTTTTTTTTTTTTTTTGTGGGGCTTGAGGAATGAGGTGACAGCTAAGTTTAGGCTGGTGGAGATGGTGAGCTCCTCGGAGGCCGATAGAACTTTCTAGGAGTTCATGGTCCTTGGCTCCAGCTTCTCACTGTAAAGTTGTCATCCGGGCAGATACAGCCAGTGCTTTTCACTGTAGGGGGTAACTTCATGCTAATGAGTGAATGTTGCACCATTAATGACTTTCTGTTTAAAGTTCAGCAGTTACAAAATGGAATCTTACCTGATCCCTAGTGAACTGTGTACATAAGCAGGGAATGTTTCCAGCCAGCTTTCCCTTTTAGAAGAGCTCCTGTGCTGGAATAGGTTACTGAGTCATTTTTATTTTGTAAAATAAAAATTGGGGCTGTGTGTGTGTCTGTAGCTTGAGTATGGAGAATGAGCTTTCAAACTGCTTTTCATTTTTCAGATCCAGTTTTATATTGGGGGCTACAGTAGGCGCACGAAATTGCCATTAGTAATCTTTTGTGAGACGTGTTTGGAGACTCACCCATTCAGATCTGCCCTGCTTTGGCAAGCACAGACAGCTCTGTGTACCTTTTTGGAGGTCTGGGTAAAATGAGTTGGTGGGCTCCATCTGCTTCTAGTGGGCTGGTGTCCGCTTCATGCTATTACAACTCCCCCCTTTTATGGGAAATGCAGCCCGGCATCTTAGGGCTGGCGTGCCGGGGGTAACGTGTCAAACCTGTCCTCACTTTCCCGAGGGGAACCTTTTAGGGTTGAGTCCTCTCTTGCTTCAAGGGCGCTCTCCATGGTCAGCACGTTTTAATAAAAGGCTCACGGGTTCCATCCTGTTAGCGTTTCCAAGACAGAGCATAAACCTGTGGTTTAGTGACAAGAAAATTGATGTTTGAAGGTTCTAGTAGTTTCATTTCACAGGAAAAGCTCCAGTTAAGCAATCACTGTCAACTAAAACCCTGGAGTTCCCTGGTTTCGTTTTACTGACGCTTGTGCGTATATGTCTAGCAGAGATAGATAATAAATCCAAAATACCGGCTGCTTTTCTTTTGGAGGGGTTAGAAATTGTCCTCTCCTCCACCCGCCGTGTAATGTTGGGGATTCTATAAAAGGTTCACATTTGAACTTCATGGAGAGGCAGGATGTCCTTATTCCTGATTCAAATATATTGCCCCCAAAGGGATGAAGGGGAGGAATTTCCGTTTCCCAGATGGATTACTGTTTAAAAACTGATGGTAAACCTGTTTTTAAAACTGTTTATCACTTCATTAGACCTTCCATTCTTTTGCCTTTTCCTTTAGAGGATGTCAGTAGTAAGGGTTTCTATTTTATTAGGCAGCTCCTAAGAGTGTTTTTGTAAGAGTGTCTGGGTGTTTAAAAATTCTTGCTTAGATTTGTGGGTCCTTATGTCTTGACTTTTCCGGAAGTCTTGCTATTTTTAGTACAGGTATTTAAAAATCTGAATTCACCGACACCTCAATGTTATGCCATGCTGAGATTAAATTTAGTAAAACTGTTACTAACATTCTGAATTTTGGGGACTGACATTTAGCTAACAGGTCAACAAATTGTAGTGGTTCCTGGCCTCTGAGCTGACAGTCCAGGTAGGGAGAGGAGAAGACAGCACATTGAACAACAGACCTGAACTTTAGGACAGCTGTATACATATACTCTCTCACACCTTTGGTCTCTGTGATCTCTGCCTCAGCCGAAGTGGTCAGCGTACTCCCTGAACACTCCTAAGATATAACTCAAAATCCTTACTTCGCCAACATCCAGGTCCTTGATTCTTGTGGTGTTCTTCCTTTGGACTCTCGAAGTACTTGCCTCATTGCTCTGGCTATAGCTTGCCTATGGTTATTTTTCCTTTTATGTATATGTTTCCTCATATCCACTAGGTCAGTAGTTAAGATGGACACTTCTCAAATGTAGAGTATGATATTTGGATTTCATCCTGAAGCCCTCATATTTCTCTTTCAAAGTTAAATCCGACTGAGCTCACCGTCTCGGCCTTCTCTGTGTACCTGCAGACCTAGGGGGTTTGCTTGGGTTCCTTTTTTTCTCCAACCCCCCGTTTTTTTAAAGTAGCTTTCTCTATTCTATTTCTTGGACCTCATTCTCCAAGGCTGGCTGTGGTGTAGGAAGCAGTCCACCTGCTCCTTCTGGTTGTCCATGAGAATGAGCCACGAAACCCTTTTCGAAGATTTAATTGTTGATTACCATGGAGAAAGAAGCCATGACAAAAAGCAGTGAGCGCAGTTAACTTATGGAGATTCAGAGCCCGGGGTCCTGAGTCCCCCTGTGTCTAGAAAGTTCTTGTGGAAGGTGCTTGGAGCTTGTCCAAGCTCATCAGCATAGGCTTGTGTCGTGTGCACTGCCAGACCTATATTTTTTTCAAGACTTGGATGACATGTTCAAAATAATGTTTTGGAGCAGGAATTTGACTGTGGGATGTCAGGAAGACCCCGTTGGGAAATGTGGGCTTAAGGAATGATTTCTTGACCTACGATGACGGGGATGGGAATTGGTAAAGAGTGAATGAGTGTGAGAGGTGCTATTAGGTGAGGGTGGAGAGGATTCTGACTCCCGGGTTAAATAATCACACTACAACTTTGAACTAGAGTGGGGAAACGTCATAGTTATTATTGCCAATAAAGAATGGGATTGTTGATTTAGAGTGAAAAATACAGTGGGGTTTAGGCGGATCTGTCTAGCGGGGAATTGAAATTTGGGGGCCAAGCCAAGGCGTAGTCTTTACTGCAGTGGGGCCGTGTCCTTCTCACGTGCATTGTGCACTGTACCACAGTAAGTCCAAGATGCTGACATCTTCTTCAGCCCTGGCATCATGGCCTCTTTCTGCTGATTTCTACACTGTGTGATCAATAGGGGTGGTGTTGATCCTAAGCTCCAACGTAAGTGATCAGGTAGATTAACATGGGTTGAGTATGACAGAATTTAGAAGCCTTTTTCCAAGTGCTTGCTATGTTAATTTCTGTGCATTCACAAATGTAGCCCACAGTAATTCTCTAGTGAACTAGAATCATCGAGTCTTTGGATTTTACTGCATTTCTGTACTGAAATGTGATTTCAAGAAGACAGTAAGTTTTCCTGAAACCAGTACTACACTCTGTGTTAACTAGTTTCAATTTAAATAAAATCTTGGAAGAAAAAAAAAGACATTAGGTTTTCTCTGGTGTTGATTGTATACTAACAGTGCAGTTCATATTTGAGAATCTCCCCAAAACTGGTATAGTGTGTTCAACTAAGATACTTCATGCCACAACTCATCTTCTGTGTAAAATCTGTGGTCAGTGAACTGTCGGAATCATTGGTGTTTCAGGATGTGGCATCTTTTTCATCTTCCATTAAGTTTCTAGCTGTTGGAAAAAAAAGACCAGTGAGTAAATAAGAGCTTTTTGGAGGCTACCTTCGGTTCACAGAGAAGGTGTAGTATATATTTCAGGAAAGGAAAGATAGGAAGAGGATACTGGAAAAGTCCAAGGCAGGGAAGGGGAGTGTGTGTTAGAATAGTGCTGGTCCCGGTGTGATAGATGGCCTTATATCACAACTTCTTCCGTGAAACCCCTACTAATAAATCCTAGTGTTAGGAGTCTGGAAGAGTCCATGAGAAAAATATTTAAGGGCTCCCTTGCTGATACAGGACTGGTCAGATGGTTGTAGTTTGATATTCTTATACTGCTGAAGCTGAGAAAAATTTCAGCCACTTTTTCTGTGGAAAATAGAAAAGCAAGCTGTTGTGTAATTTCACTCAGCTTTCTATTCTTCCTTCTGTTGAATCCGTTGGAGTAATAGTTAGTGGAGGGAACTATTTCAGGATCACACCCACGGCACTGGAGACTATATGTGTTAATCACTTACACACATAGGTGTGGAGTGATCCTGAAGGGGGCTATAAGCACCCTCAAGTAAGAGGGTACTTATTTGAAGAATTAGAATCTGGTTCCCAGCAGCTGGTCTGAGACTCTGGTCTTTGCTCTTTCCTGCAGAGCTGACTGGACAGCTCAGAGCCTGCTTGAGGAATTCAGAGGCCTGCCAGTAGAATGTTCTTTCTATCCTTAGGGATATTTGCTAGGGACTCAGCTGCTGCAGGATACCACAGAGTCTTCAGGTTCATTTTACCGTTTTTAACATGACATGGACATTTTTTTTCCCCTAAGAGAATATTGACATTGAGGATGGCCCTGAGCTAGGCTTTACATTAATTTGGATTTGAACAGCAGGTGATATATCTATTTTCATTCTACAAGTTACTTGATGATCTAAGAGACTTTTGTATATGAAGGGTGTTAGGCCATATGGAGACTGAAGGAAAGGATTTTGGG